CCACTCAGTCCCAGTGTCCAAACTTGATACCCCTCAGGCCAGCAGAGGGCAAAGACCCCCACACCCTCCCCGAGGCCCTCGCAGATGCGGTGAACAGGCTAGAACTCCTGTCTTCCTCCTCTCTGGCCACAGGGTTTGGTTAGTTCTCCCTTTGGTGGAACCCACTTCCTCTTTGTAGGACAGACCACAAAATGACCTTCTCTCTCAGCGTGGGCCCTGGGCTGATTTGTAGCACTGTCCATGCTCACAATTACCCTAGAATACAGAGGCTCTATTTATGCCCACTCTCCAGCGGGACAAACTGAGGCTCAGAGCCCAGAAAAGGCTTATGGAGAAACTGGTGAAGAGGGGGCTGGGGAAGATGAAAGTGAGGGGTCAAGTTCCCCAGACCCTGCAGGGAGGGGGTTCTCTGTGCTGAGCTGGGCTTTCCTGCCCCACAACAGAGGCTGCTGGGCTAGACCTCCACCTGGGGCCCAGGAAGTCACCCAAACAGGAGCCTGGAGAGGGGTGGCTGCTTGCTGCTCCCAGGCCCATCTGGTTTGCATTCTCCGAAAAGCTAGGGGCAGTCAGATTCCTGCCTGGGGCCCCTGTGGCAGGGGTGGGGCAGTCATTCTCTCCTTGCTCCTCCTGCCAAGGATCCCCCTCCCCACCCCCGCCCTGTAGTCCTTCCCCCAGACCTACCAGTGAGAAACATCGATCAGCTGCCTCCTGCACATCTGCCACTGGGGATGTGCCCGCAACCCAGGTACATGCCCTTGACCGGAATCGAACCTGGGACCTTTCAGTCCGCAGGCCGACTATCTATCCACTGAGCCAAACCGGTTTCGGCGGCCTGAGGAGTTTTGATTGGCACCCCAAAGGTCATTTCTTAACCCTCTTTGATACCTGGTTGCCCAGGCGAGAAGCTGCCCTGATAACCATTAGAGCAACCCTGGGTGGGGCGGGAAGGGAGGCAAGGGGGAAGTCACAGCAGAGCTCAGGTTCAACCCACAGCAGCAAAGCCCTTCAAGGCACAGCTGAGTCCCAGCTGGGTCTCGGGCTTCCCCTGCCACACAATGGGAGAAGTGTGGGAGTCACCCTGCTGTGGAAGGGTCCGCTTAGCTCCCTAACCCCCTCTCTGCCATCTGTTACGAGTGACTTCCTGATGGGGTCACAGCACTCATTTGCCCCCTCTCCTCCACCTGCTTCAGTTTCCCCTCTTAGGGAGCAGCTTCCAAAGTGGATCTGGAAGGAGCTTGGAGATCCCTCTGGGGTGGGGAACAGACCCTTAGAGCCCTCTGGGGGTGCTGCTGGGCGTGGGGGTTTCCGAGCACTGCCAGCTGCTCTCCCATGTGCCGTGGCTCCCACCTAACCATGTGGATTCCTCCATGTCAGGGCCAGAGCTTCCAGAGGTGACTCCTATTTCTCCTCGGTGGGGGGTGGGCAGACAAGGAAGTGGAGGCACCAAAGGGGTGCTGCCAGGGGTTCCCTAATCCCTCTTATAGGGTCCCCAAATTCTCACCATGGAGGATGTAAAAGGCACTCAGGCGGGGACCTCCCATGGTCTGGGCAGGGCGGTTCTGTATTCACAGGCTGGGCAGTTGTGCATCCTTTTGTGTCCTCCCGGCCCTTATACAGTGTACGAGTGGGTGTGCCCCAGGTCCCTCCCAGGAACTGGTGG